AGATAGAGAGAGAGATACTGATATATATATATATATATATATATATATATATATATATATATAGATAGATAGATATACTGTGATATATATATATATATATATATATATATATATATATATATATATTTAACAAATTTAAAATCAAACTCAGCCTTGCTATTGCACGCTCCAAAAACAATAACTCATTTGTTTTTTGTGTGAATAATTCATGAATTTGTAAATTGATTGCACGTTTATCGAAATTAAAATAACTGATCCAAGTGCGACTTTTGGAAAATAAATGCGACATTACTGTAATTATTGAACAATATAGTTCATGCCACTTTGACAGAAAGTTTGCCAGTAAAAAATTCGTTTATTACCATATTTGTACATGAACGCACAACTGTAAAAATTTAAAATCAAACTCAGCGTTGCTATTGCACGCTCCAAAAACAATAACTCATTTCCAATAGCATTTTCGGATACAACAATACATATATTTTCGTTGTCCTCTTATTACTAAGAGAAAAAACAAGAACAACATCTATTCCATACCTGAAGATGTCTGTAGGAACAGACGAAAGCTTGTAGTAAAAATAAGAACTAATACGGCAGAAATTTATAGAAACAAGGATCTTTTTCATTCATAACGGATTCGAGGTTTTGTATATTATTTGAATTGTTTGCGACGATGGATTTCTCGCCAATTAAATCATTAACCTTTGCATTTGTTTTTTGTGTGAATAATTCATGAATTTGTAAATTGATTGCACGTTTATCGAAATATATATATATATATGTGTGTGTGTGTGTGTGTGTGTGTGTGTGTGTGTGTGTGTGTGTGTGTGTGTGATCTGTGTCTGTATAGAGTCTGTACACCGGGGTTGGATAAGCCTGACGTAGTTTTCGCCGGTTGAAAATTCTCTCTCTCTCTCTCTCTCTATATATATATATATATATATATATATATATATATATATATATAGAAAGAGAGAGAGAGAGAGAGAAACTTTCTTTCTTTCTCGGTCTTTTTAAATCTGTCTATCTATCTCAGTCTATTCACATCTATCTTTCTTTCTCTCTGTATATATTTATCTACCTATTTTTTTTGTTTCTCAGTCTTTTTATATTTATCTATCTATCTTCATGTACATATATTTATCTATCTTCATGTAGATAAATAGATAGATAGATAGATAGATAGATAATGAGCAGACTGAGATAGTTAGATAGATAGATAGATAGATAGATAGATAGATAGATAGATAGACCGACCTACCTACCTATCTCATTCTTTCTCAGTCAGTTCACATCCATCTATCTATCTAACTTTATTTATTTATTTCTGTATATATATTTATTTACCTATTTATATATTTATTTCTCAATCTTTTCATATCTTTCTATCTATCCTTTTCTCACTGTTAGCGTTATTTTTAGTGGGGACACAAATATATAAAAAAAAACAACGTTTATAATTGGAAAGAAATAATGTCGAATAAGAAAATCCATTAAAAAAATTCTATCTCTCCTATTTTATCCATATATTTCCATTTGAAACTGTTCGTATGCATCACTGAGTGTATATATCTACTTACCTTAAATTTTGTGTTCAAAAGTCTCTGTTATTTTAAGATGTATGTATTTATGCATGTATGTATGCGTGTATGTCACCTCTTTCAAAGTGTCCATATGTATCTTTGTCTCTCTCTGAAATTATTCATCGGCATCCATCTTGTTTTTCCTTTTTCGATCTTTATCGCATGACCAGAAAAAAGGAACACAAAAAGAAAAGAAAAAAACAGGGAAAAAATGATTTCGCTGGGTTTTAATACTTAATTACTGGCACTGCCCGAAAAGATTCCTTCCACGCTCTTACAATTCCTGCCGTGTCCAAAATGAAATTGAACCCCATGTGATCGACACGCGGAAGCAGAGGAAGAAAAACGGGATTTGTATTTGGGATGCTAGTCCTTACGCGCTCTGCAAGAACTGATGATGTTGAAGCAAGAAATAATGCGTCCTGGGTATGACGATAAACCACATCCGGCAGCAAGACCTCTGATCAGGAGGTTTTGAGGAGCGTGGAACCACCTCCTAATTGCTGTTGTGCCCAGATTCACCTTGACTCGGAGGTGATAGCAACTGTTACAGTCCCAGTTATGGGCAAGTAGTTAACGCCTTTCTACTGGAATTAAAACACTGGGAGTATAAAAATACTTTTTTATAGGAAAAATACCAGTAATACATTTTTAAAAAAATGCCATCGGTTCATTTGACTCTTGAGAAAAACCCTCTTTACAAAAATACGGCAATGAAACCTGATTTACAAACTGATTTCTTATAAAGAATAAATATTCTATTCATACGAACTTATCCTAAAAATCTTGCCAGCATTAAATAACCCATTAAGGTGTTGATATGCCGTAAAACCAAATAAACCAAACCAAGAAATAACCCTGCGCTCATCTTCATTCTAAACTTATTACATTAGTAAAAAAAAAATTGAAATGGTGTCGAGACACTAAACATCTTTTTTAGGTAATTTAAGGCCGCTAAATCTGAAAATGACCTTTTTCTTGGTCAGCTACTGTTTTTGCTGTACAGAAATGTCCCATTTTGGGGGGAAAAAGCAATTATTTCATTAGTTTTATGTATATAAGATATTGACCTATGCCAATATTTCTCAAAATAAAACCTCTTAATTCGTATTTAAACTAACAAATATTGGTCTACTTATCGAGAAATACTATTTTTGCAATAAAAATCAGACCCTAAGTCTTTAAAAATAATACTATTGAATATACCAAGACCAACAAGTATTTTCATCCAATCATTTAATAAACTAACAGCAGAAATAAAACCTTCGTGAACATAAGAACAAAGGTAAAATGTTTTTCATTCTTGATCGTCTGTCATGTTCAATGTTATTTAAGTCCCTTTTAATACTCCAGCAGTATCATGTACAGTAGAATGGGTGCATTCAATTGTGATGTCTTTAGTTGGAGTTTCTTTCCAACTGTGAAAACAAAATGCTGTCAGTGTTACTTGGTTTCCTTCCGTATTGAAGGGATAAAATTGATGGGATAAATTTATGAATATCAAACAGATTTTAGGGTTTCGTTTTTTTGATGTCACCTTAATTATCAGGTTTACTAATGTGTATTACAGGTAATGTTTATCAGTTAATCTGAATTTTGACAATAAATTCGATACTTCTATTTTAAATTTTTTTTTTACTCAAATCACTTTTTATATAAAAATAGTTTATTTCAGGTGGCTGACATAAATTGCTCGGCCTAGGTGAAAATTGATGAGTTTCTATGACCTTTATTAACTAAATTTTGTGATCAGGCAAGATCTTAAATTGATCTTTTTTTCCAAAAATGAGCAATTTCAGTACAACAAAAACGGTAGCTAATCATGAAAAACTAAGGTCATTTTCGAAATCAGCACCATCAAATTAGCTAAAAAAAAACCTGTTTTGTTTCTTGGCAACAAAAATCGTGTTGACCAATGTTATTATATAACAATGATTAAAAATGGCTTCAAACGAATGAGACTTGTGGGTTGTAGGGAGAACTGTATTTCGTCGGATCCCGTTGACTGGCGCTGCAGAATATCAAATAAAGGACTTTACTAAATAACAAAGATCACAATATTTGAAGAATTTTAAAAGCAGCAACAACTCAAACAGATAACACATTTAAATCATTTAATAAACTAACAGCAGAAATAAAACCTTCGTGAACATAAGCACATTTTCGGAATCAGCACCATCAAATTAACTCAAAACCGAGTTTTGTTTCTTGGCAACAAAAATTGTGTTGACCAGTGTTATGTTTCAATAGTTATAAAGATTTAAGTACAATCAAGAAAAACAAAGTCATTTTAGACGGAAACATGCGTACTTGTGGGTGCTGGAATTAAATTATTGTTGATACAAGTGTCTTAATATGTACAGAAAGTTGACTGGGCGAGCCGAATTCAGATTTCAGCTAATGTTCTTGTGTTCTCTTTGAGAAATGTATGAAAACATATTTCTCGCACTAATTGTAACAGGTTTGACTGGACCCTCAAACCTCGAAAGGCAAACAGTCTGAGAAGGAAAACTCAGAATTTCAAATTCGTCGAAAAGGCAACGAAAAATCACTCACCTTAAATTCCAAGAAACTATGGAAATTGACAGATAATAAAGAAAAGGAATCTGTGGAGAAGCCAATAAGAAACAACTCCGCTATATTTCCCAAGACTGTATGAAAATTCACAGATAATAAAGAGAAAAAAAATCTGTGAAGAAGGCAACGGGAAACCACTCCACTATCTTTCCCAAGTTGATCAAGGTCGATTTTCTCTCGTGTTGTTTGACGTCTTCCTTCTCTCTTCTGGTAGATTCGAATCTTTTTATTCCAATGCTGATGGAACATTGCCAGTTGGCACTGTCTTGTACATGTGTTTCAAGCGATTTAGGCTCTAGTCGCTTTCAGCAATGTCTTGAGTTGGTCTTTGTATATTTGAAGAAGGCAGCCCCGTGGTCTTTTTTGTGAGCTCACTGAATAAGACTTCCCTAACTTTCCCAAGACTGTATGAAAATTCACAGATAGTAAAGAGAAAAAAAACATCAGTGGAGAAGGCAACGGGAAACCACTCCACTATCTTTCCCAAGAAGATCGATGTCGATTTTCTCTCGTGTTGTTTGACGTCTTCCTTCTGTCTCTTTATGACTCAAGCAATAATGACTCTCCACGAGTTCATTTTCTTTGATTGTTTCATTTTTTTTTTTTACCGTTTACCAACCCTTTACCGGTTATTTAAAACCAGAAAAATATTTTTAGATTGTAAGAATATTTTTTTAGTAATAGTGATTTAGTGACACAAGTCTTACTAATTAACCCATAAGTGGAGGAGAAGAGGTGCATTCATACCTTTATCAAGGGTATTTGCGAAAAAGTGAATATAACAAACTCGGCTCTTCAATTAACAATGCCTAGCCATTATCTACCACCCGCACATCCAAGCTTACAGCACCTGGCATCCCCAAGCGGTCACTCATCTAGGTACTGAAAAGACTAGACATTGCTTAACTTTGGTGATCATACGGGAACCGGTGTCTCAACGTGACATGGCCGTAAACCTCATATTCTTTATATTCTGTGTATTGCATTGGGAAAGATAGTGGAGTGGTTTTTCTCTCAGTTTGAAATTCAGAGTTTTCCACCCAAGGAGGATAGATCACAGAGCTGATTGGAGCGGGGGAGGCGGTTTCATGCCTTTTCCGAAAGGCATTTGTGCGAAAGTGACCGCAAAAGTCTAACCTGGAATTTGAACTCGGCTCGCCCATTCTGCTTTCCGCGACAAATGTTACACAAACACACGACGTAATATAAAGCCGAGTAATCTTCAAAAACACTTCCAATGTACTTTACACTGTATACAAGATGGCGAATTCAGTTTTTTCATTAACGTAATAAAAAAGAATGTACGAATGCTGGAAACGTTATATCTCTTCTACTCTGTCCATATTTCATTGTCTGCCTGTCAATGGTCATTAAACTGGCATATTCCTCAGGGACGCGAACTACATTGATTTTTCAATAAGAAAATCAATGGGTGCCATTTTGTTTTCCAATATTAAAATGGCCGTCTTTTTTTGCGCTGCCTCTTGACAATGCGCATGCGTAAATACATTTATATTTATTTAATATCCCTGTCGGCTGATGTGTTTTCAAGACCACTGATCAATTAATGCCAGTTTACAATTCTGATTATTTATTTGCAAAGATTTGGTGAACATATTTTTAATAAATCCTCGTGAGTCCCCAGGCTTAAAACTAAATAAGTTCACTGCACTTTACTGTAGATTACATGACCGAAAAAAGAAGGATAAGTCTTTGTTTTGTTTTTTGTTTTTTTGGTTTTTTATCGTTTTTTCTTCTGTCTTGTTTACTTTACGGCGATTGCGAGAGAATTTAGTGTCCCACTCGTTATTGCTCGAGAAAATAAGTTACAGATATATTTGAATTTCTGATTTAGAAAAAAAAATGGACGATACAAACGAAAGAAAAATATAAATAAAATTCAAATTTAATTTTTTTCTAAAACTTTTCTCTACTTTCGGGTTGGAAACGAAACAAAATACGAAGGCTTATTTTAGTTTGATTTGTTTTACAAGATATAAATAATTTCCAAGTTATTTCATTGAATTACATCGTTTGGATAAACAATAATCAAGCAGATATATGTCCGGTTAGGGCGAGAGACAAAAAGTTAGGCATAGGTCCTATTTGCCCGGCATTCGAAAAGCAATCAGATGTCTAGCCCCACTGAACTGCGAAACAGACTGTGGATATATTATGAAATGGACTAAGTCCAGCAATTCCTTTAATATATTTATTGTTATACGTTACTTATATAGAAGCAAATATTTAAGTAAATGCTCTGTTTATAATAATTTCTATGAGATTTCTCGGACGTTCAGACCGGTAAATGTTGTTAATACTGTTTATCATAAAGAGAGAATTTGCTTAAATATTTGTATCTATAAAAATATTGTATAAACATAAAAATGTATTTAAATAATTGTCGGACTTTGTCCATTTCATAATGTGCGACGTCATTTGTTTACATTTGGATACGCATCGAGCAGATATGGATGTACGTGAGAGATTCATGGAAGATTGTAGTTTAAGTACAGTAAAATCGACATTGCTAACCGAACGCTCCTCTGTGGCCAAATCGGTTAAAGGCACGTCATGCTGTATGACGGTTCCGTATAGGATACAGGTTCGATTCCTGTCGGAGGACAAATATTTTCTGTGAAAGTTTCTCGGACGTTCATGCCGGTAAATGTTGTTAATACTGTTTATTATAAACAGACCATTTACTTTTATTTTTTCACACGTGTATTGAGCACTTTTTAATAGCATTGTTTCCTGGTCTGTTTCACCTCTGACCATTAACCTTTTACGTATTTTATATTTATATATATATATATATATATATATATATATATATATATATTGTGTATATTTAGGCAGCAATTTTTCATTGATGCATGTTTCATTAAATAATATAGACAAGTTTTGTCTATTTATTTTAAGTAAGTTCCTTTCATATTGTCTGATAAGCTTAATAACATTATCATTGAAAGACGAAAGGAAATCACCATATTGATACATGTTTAAATCCAATCTAAGCTTTCGGCTTACATAAGCCATTATCAAAGATGACAATTACTTTTCAATATATCAACCAATACACGGACGAAACAAGTGTGTGTGTGTTTGTGTTTGTGTCCTGTTAAACGGTAAAGGATAGCTATAGGTTCTGTTTGCCCGAAAGTGAAAACGTTAGACATAGGTACGACTTACGCTGTAGTCAAAAATGTTATTTACCTAATGTCGAAAAATGAAAATTCAAACTTTATAATTAATTCAAGAGAATGACATTATTTCATGATTAAATTATAATTACTTAGCTACATTTTTACCAAATAATTTTAGAAAATCAAACAAGACGTGAAAATTTATTTCTCCTTACAAGAAATGAGATTAATCATAGAAAATTTATTTTTTTGACGATTTATTCCATGGCTTCAAATTTGCTATAAAAGGTATTGCCATTTTACTATAAAAAATTATTGTTGGTCATTTTATTATAAAAATATATTGTTGGTCATTTTACTATAAAAATGTATTGTTGGTCATTTTACTATAAAAATATATTGTTGGTCATTTTACTATGAAAATGTATTGTTGGTCATTTTATTATTGTTAAGGGGTCCACCCCTTTTTATACAAGTGGACTCGCCCAGTGTGTACTTGTACTGCTGCCGGTGAATACCCGGAAGTAAGACAGTGAGAGAGTGAGAGTGTGAGGTAACCGCTTTGTAGGAGTCACAGTTGCGAGCACGTAGACTCAGAAGGAAGTCCTACTTCGATACTGAATTTCCAAGACTGTATATATTATTATTGCTACTAACCGCATTTCTGGATCTACTAACCGTATTACCAATTGTATTATTACGTCAATACATTTATTTGCTATATTTCATTCCTGCGTTTGTCATTCATTTGAGACCGGATTTCATCCCGGAATCCACAACAATTATAAAATATATTGTTGGTCATTTTAATATAAAATATATTGCTGGTCATTTTACTATAAAAATGTATTGTTGGTCATTTTACTATAGAAATATATTGTTGGTAATTTTATTATAAAATGTATTGTTGTTCATGGCACTGCTGTAAAAAAAAAAACCTTTTATGGTTTTTAAAGTAGTTGCGACAAATGTTATATTGTTTAAATAACAATTTTTCAGTTGTTGGTTTGGTTTTTATTTAGTGGCATATCAACACCTCCATGGGTTATTTAATGCTAAAATCTAAATTAAAATTCAAACTTTATAATCAATTCAAGTGAATGACATTATTTCATGATTAAATTATAATTACTTAGCTGCATTTTTTATAAAATAAGTTTACCAAATCAAACGAGGCGTGAAAACTTTTAATTAATTATAATTTTTCTTTTTGTTTTTTTGTTTGTCTGTTTGTTTTTCGTTTTTTTGTTTTTTTTTTTGTGGGTGGGTTACAATATATGACACGTCTTCAATTTTATTATAAATAGCTATTGCTGGTATTTTTACTATAAAAGTGTATAATTATAATTACATGGTGTTTTTAATTTTTGTTTGGCAGTTCAGTATTTACCCTTAGCAGAGACCCTAACAGGTGCTACCACCCAGGGTCAAATTCCACCTGAGAACAATAGCAATTATGAGATGATTCCACGCTCCTCAAAACTTAAATCTCCTTGCTACCAGATGCAGTTTATTGTCATACACAGGACTATCAGCATAAGATTTAACAGATATTCTCTGTGTGTTCAGAACGAGGCTTTTCAGACAAATTTCGAGTTTACTGATGAGATCAGAAAAGTACAATGAATCTATAAGTTCTTTAATCCTAAAATCTAAATGTAAAAACTCAAACTTTATAATTAATTCAAAAGAGTTTCAGCTATCACAGTGCAAAGAGCAGTATAAAGAAGACTTGAAAATGAAATCGTACGTAAAACCTGTGAGGCACCTTGTTACTCCAGTACAGAACGTTAGAAGGTTAGAGAGGGCAAAGATCATCTTGAATAAGCTGGAAAATGATCTTGGGATAATATATAATATATTGGAACTTGATTTCAAGCCTTCATAAGCTTCCGATCCTTAGCTATGATTAATTAATGATGAACATGTCATTTTCGTTTATGATCGATATCATCAAGATTCTTCTGTTGGAGAGTAATTATACATTCTTATTGCTCAAAGTAGAATCCAATAGTTATAAAAAAAAAACCTCGGAGAATTCAGGTAAGATATCATTAATCATTTATATATATATATATATATATATATATATATATATATATATATATATATATATATATAAATAAAAAACGGTTAAAAGCTTAATCTAACAAATGGGCAATTTTGCTTTTTACACGGATTGGACAATTGTTGTTAGCACCGGTATATTTGTTCCACAGAGGGAGAGTTTAAAAAGAGGTGGTATAACCACAGCTCTTTCTTCCCACTAGCAAAATATACCAAACTTACTGGTTATATATGGGAGGCGAAAGAAAAAATATATAAAAGCCCCAATATAAAATGGGATATATTGAGTAAATTCCGACCACGTAACTCAAAATCGAATGCAACAGCAGGATTCAAAAAATCCAATGGAGTATCGTCACACATTATCGAGAAAAAAAAAGAAAAAAAAAACAATGTATAAACGTAAAAAATGTCTTAAAACTATTGTCGGACTTTTAAATTTTATAATGTGTGACGTCATTTGTTTACATTTAGATAGGCATTGAGCAGATATGAAGGTACGTGAGAAAATCATGGAAAATTTTAGTTTAAAAGCAGTAAAATCGACCTTGCTAGCCGAAACGCTCCTCAGTGACGAAATCGGTAAAGCACGTCAGGTTATACGACGGTTCCGTATAGGATACAGGTTCGATTCCTGTCGGAGGACGCATATTTTCTATGAAAATTTCTCGGACATTCAGCTCGGTAAATGTTGTTAATACTGTTTATTATAAACAGAGCATTTACTTAAAATATTTGTAT